TACACTTCTCCGTAACTCTTATTTTAATTAACCCTGACATTCGCCCAGTTTACTAGGATTTGTTGGAGTAAGACACCGATTTTTGATTCCAACTACACCATTATTTTTGCACTATAATTCATTTCCCTCGTTTCTGTATTTACCAAGACTGTGAGTTTTATGCCAGTGTATCCTCTCGAAAAATAAAATTTTGAAGTCAATTTGCACGTTATATGTCGATTAATTATCTTACAGCAGTTTTCCTTGTCATATTGACTTGACTTAAATCAAGTTTCGCATCAATTGTTATTTGGGGCGCATAAGAAATGAGACTCTTTTACCTCTGACTGACTCTGAACTTACTCTGCTAAATCTTGATGGAAAATAACTTTTTGGAATCTTCATGGGTGCGAGTTTGTAATATATTTATTTCATTTCCAGGAAGCACGTTTTGCAGATCAGCAGTGGAATAGACGACGTAGGTGGATTGAGATGGGAATTGGCAGGTGTTCTATTTATTGCCTGGTTTGTGTGTTATTTAGCTGTTTTCAAAGGGACGAAGTCGACAGGCAAGGTTGGTGTTTATATTACTTATTGTACGTACTTGTTCACATAACAACATCGGTTATGATAGCCAAATAGCAATCTACAACGACAAATAGCAAACTGAAAATTACACAAATCTCAACTATTTTGCTTTTGTTTATTTTCTGTATATTTGTAAACAAAATGAAATCGTTTTGTTACATAGATATGACGGTATTAGGTAAACGTAACGTCAACAAAAACGCTTTCTTTATTACTGTATAAAACATATGTTGTTTACATTCGTTCAAAATATAAAAGGTTATCGATTTAACATGTTCTTAGGTGTTTTATAATACAAATAAATGAAAACGGATGTATATTTTACAAAAAATATGGAGTAAAATATGTACTAACAAAAATATCAGGGAAAGTTAAGTGGGTTGAGCTTAATAGTGTTTCTGATTCATTATCAAATATATTCTCCAAGCATCCACATTTTGATATTAAATGATATAGCTGCTTTATTTTCGAGGTTTTTTCTCGACTAAACTCCTCATTTATGACAATACCAAGTTCCATATTACTTTTCGGAGGTTCGTAATATAATCTCTTTGTATATAATATATACATAACACCAAATCGATGAGTTTTCTGTCCGTCGTTTATTAGGAATACGATTATCAAATTAAAAAATTGAAAATAAAATTTGATTGATTTTTGAAGAATATTAAATTGTGGAATTACCTTAATGTGAATTTACCGTGAAATACGTTTTCACTGCTAAAAAGAACAGTTATCCGATTTAATTGTTCGTTAATTTTTTGTGAGGTTTTAAGAAATTTGTAACTTTTTCAAGAGTGACACCAACAATAATACAAGCCGGAACAACAAAAAATGCTTTTTGAAGTGCTGAAAATCTGAAATAATAGAATAAAAAGCGTTAGCAAATTGTTTATATTGTTCAAACTTCAATTCAAACGATATGTTGGGAATATACGATTAGCGATAAGTAAAAAGGATCAAATGCCATGTTAGAACAGAAGCACATTTAGCGTGATATTGAATATTTGCTGCCAGACTATTGTTTGTTTACAATTCAGGCCCGATCAAGTCTGGGTCCACATCAACTATTACGCACTATATTGTTTACAAATCGGGACTATCCCTTTTAATATATTTAAAGACAAATACGACTTAAGTAAATGAACAATGCGTAGAAGACTAGGGTAAATTTTTGGTATAATTCCAGTATCTTTCCATAAACTGTCCTGATGAAAATCTTGAACTTTTGACCTATGTATATGACTCATATGAAATGGATTTTTACTTATTTAGGAAATTTTACGCAAATGGAGAAGTGACATAATTAATTCTGATTTTCAATTTTTATATTGTATTCGTATAAACCTTTACTATGTATATTTACTTGCGTTTCTCCTGCTTGTGAAATTAGTCTCAATAAAATTGATAAAAAAAGAGCAAAGGTGAAGCTTTGAAATTACAAAGGAAGACCATAATCTAATATTCTTCCACACAACATCCATTGCGCGATTGCGACATCGTCCGGGTAATTTATCCGAAAACATGAAATCAGACCACAAGACTATTGGAGTCGAGGTTTGGCAGTTTTTAATAGTATTGTAGCCGGAGATATATTTTTAAACTTGGGATCAAAATTTCAAACTTCTAAAGGCGGTAATCGAATCAAAATTCTGGACAAAAACTAAATGAGCTTGGAGTTGACTATGCACACTTAACAGATAATCGAATAGGAATTGCAATTTCTCAATGTTGTTTTGTGGTTAAAATCTGGTTTGTTGAGTGTTGGTAGCTGGAACGTAGTGGAAATTTCTTTCAAATGGGAGTTGGGCCGGAGTCGTTTTTGAATGGATCGGATATTGGAACCTGATTCGGGTGTAAACTGCACCGACTCCGTAGTACAGCATTGCACAAAATATTGGGGTGTGTCAAGGATGACAAGACCTGATCAAAAATCATCCAATTATGTTGGCCAACATAAAATGTGGCAATGAATCATGTTTATAATAGTGATAATCAATTTCTTTTAATCATTTCAGGCAATGTATTTTACTGCAACTTTTCCGTATATCATGCTCCTGATTCTACTAATCAGAGGTGTTACTCTGCCTGGAGCTGCAAAGGGAATACAATTCTATCTCCAGCCCAATATGACAAAACTTGCTGAACCTCAGGTATTTTATATTACTTTCTGTATGTACAGAAAGAAAGGTAACGGATTTCTGTAAGTCACGGTGTAAATCAACTTATATTTATTTGGTTAAAAATTTTAAATGGATATAATAACATTATAAAAACACAAATTTCGATTAGCGGAAATTAAAACATACCGCTACTTACTGAAAAAATGGTTTTAAACAGTTTGACGTAGTTTCTTTGAAGTAACGTTTAATTTAAAACGTTCTTGTATGATTATGGACATAACTCACCACATTCACTTTATTTAAAAGGTCTGGATTGATGCTGGCACCCAAGTTTTCTTCTCATATTCTCTATGTATTGGTGTGTTGTTATCACTGGGAAGTTTCAACTCATATGGGAACAATTGCCTGAGGTATATTGCGCTTACTGTGATGTGTTACAAATGCTCCGAACTACTTTTCGTCACCTCATTACACACGATTTGAACGGAATGATGTTTTGCTAAATTGTTGTGAAAAATCGCTTTTCTCCGTATGCGATGGACAAATCGATTAACTATGAAAGAAGTCACTACAAAACTACTATTTTTATTTTTCATTTTTTTCGACTTCGGAGTGCCGATATCCACACCAAATATAGGTGGTTTTTCTCATTCACCAGAAGACTTTCGATATCTACAATTCTTCTAACAATTAACTGGAATCGCGTTTGCCATATTATTCAATTGACTTTCGTGTCCGTATATATTAGCAAGTTCTCTTGTTTTTGTATTCGGATGGAATGGGATACTTACCTGTTGCCAAGGTGCTGCCTGATCCCCAGCGTGTTAAAAAATTCATGCGAATATAGCACCGAATACCGTGTTGTTGCCAATTGTTGATCCAATACTGCATTTACAGGGATACACTCATTATATCAGTAGTGAACAGTGGAACAAGCATTTTGGCTGGATTCGCAATTTTTGCAGCACTCGGATTTATGGCTGATGAGATGGGAGTAGAAGTAGCGGATGTAGCCGAATCTGGTATTTATTGAATCTAAAAGTATTTGTAGGTGGAACTTTATTTGGTAGAATAAAAGCAACTCAATTAGACTATTTTTTTGTCAGTATGAGATCATATAAGTAAAAATTGAATTCAATTTCTTTTTCATTTTTTTTTATGAATTTTCAACCCACGGCCGTTTTGATTTATGTGAACTAATAGTTATGTTTGTTACAGGTCCCGGATTGGCGTTTATTGCGTATCCTAAAGAAGTAACGATGTTGCCAGTTTCACAACTATGGTCTAGCCTTTTCTTCATCATGATATTCTTACTTGGGATAAGCACTCTGGTAAGCTCTACATCTTATTTGGTACTCTCGTAGTGTGTGTACCAGGTTAGGGTACCATAATTTTTTTCCTATTTTCCTTATTTTAGTTCTATTACGAGTTCGGGAACTGTCTGTGTTCGCCAAGTAAATATACCCCCTGCCCATAAGCTTCAGTCCCTTCACACAAATTAATGGAAAGAAGAAGAACAAAATTCGTTACCTCCATATTGGTACACACGCTTCTGGGGCGTCTTTTATTTTATTGGACATGAAGTGAAACTACGGATCATTTTGCAAAATTTTCGTTGTTTTGAGGGTTGGTAGTATTCAGAAAAAAAGCCATTTTTTATATTTTAGTACTTAGAATAGGAGAATATTCAACTCCAAAATTTGCTGTATTTTTATATTTCACCTGTGCACCTTTATGTGAAAAAAATCGTGCAACGTTTGGCTGTAATTTTGTTAACATTGCTGTGAGCATATTAGTCATTTAACCCTAGTGTCTATTCATTGCCGTCGAAAAATTCTGCTGTTGATTTGAAGGAAATCAATTTTTTCGGTAACTAATCAACCAATCCATTTATTATGAATCCAAAATTTTAGTATTCAAAACTGAAGAATCTAGCGTCAATTAATTTATCAAATTCTGTATGAGTCCTACGGGACTCGTTATTTGATCCCATATTTTTCTGTATGTTACAATTCACGGGCGCACCTTCGTATGAAATCCGGTACGATTCATTTATTATTGACCTGCAATTTTGTGACATTACGGTGACTATATTAATCATTTGACTACCATGATATGTTTTTGAAAATTGCTCGCTTGATTCACATCCGTACGTGTTGCGCGCCGTAATAACCAAGATACTTGTTTTCAGGTCACAGATACATTGGCATTGGTTACTTCAATCGGTGATATGTATCCCAAGTTATTCAGAGGTGGGAAATACAGGAAGGAAATTTTCATGGGATTGTGTTGTTTTATGTGCTATCTGGTTGGGCTCAGTATGGTAACAAGGGTGAGTTCAGATACGAAAAGTAGAAACATTTAATTAGATTGTAATAATGATGGTTAATTCGTATGGTTCAAGTAAATTCTCTGTTCTATCGACAGCTATTCATTCGGTCTGGTTTGTTGAATAATCAACCCATACCTGCTTTCCTGCTCGCGTTCCGTACACGGAACGATAATTTCCCATAGACTACTATTAGTAACTAGTGCTATATCAGTAGTATCTCGCTGCTTCAAACTAAGAATTTGCCTATAATTCTTCAATTAGTGCATGTTATTTTGCCCTATGAATTAGTTGTACAAGAAATTACATATATAAATAGTTTTTTTATATAAACAGCTATTTTTAAAAAATTGAAGTGTAATCACAGCAGATCACTCAAAATGAAAACACGAAGTTAGTAAAATGGGTGCTCCTGAAGTATGCGCACCAAGATGTCGCATAACCTAAACCCTAACCTGGTACACAACCTGAGTTCAGGTTGTGCGCCATCTTGGTGCGCATACTTCGGGAGGTCCGTAAAATGTAATCCGTAAATGCTAGAAGTTGTGCAATTATTAGTCTTCTCTTTTTCAAAGACATAAACCATTCTGCATGAAATATTATGGGCAAACAGTTTGTTTGAGTTATCCTGCCTTACCTATTCTAGGGTGGAATGTACGTTCTGCAATTGTTTGACTTCTACGGTGCCAGCGGATTCGCATTACTTTGGACCGCGGCGTGGCAATGTATCGCTGTGGGATGGTTTTATGGAGGAGAAAAATTTTATATAGCCATTGAAGACATGATCGGATATAGGCCATCGCCTTTCTTTAGAATATGCTGGAAATATTGCTCACCCACTCTGTGTTTTGTAAGTATTATGAATGATTGACTTCGACTCTATATGGAAAGGTTTTTCAGTTCTGTTTTTTGTGTAATGCTTACTATACGTAAGAAGTCGTTTTGTTCTTAAAGTATAAAATATATGTCATTGAGCATACAACGCGCAGCTATCCTATGCTGATTTAAAGGTATTAACAATTTTTATAGATTAAAAGCATCAATCTGGGACCTTAGCCCCTGTTGGGGCTATGAAGAGCTTATCTAGAGACCGGAATGCAATTATTATTTTAATCTCGATTTTTGTCTTTCAATATCAAACTTGGCGAATAAAGTTACCGATGAAAACTAGTTGAAACTAAACCTAATTTTTTTGCATCGGAGAGCAGGGGCGCAAAGTGGTGATGGACTTCAAAAGGAGGCCGCAGATCACGAAAGCTTGAGATCCAATGATTTAATTGTTACTATTTCTTCTTGGTTCAGTCACAAATAGTTCAGTTATATATGTAGTGGTGAAAAGAGTAACCTTCAAAAAAGACCCAGAATTCACTGAGAAATTATCAAATTAGAGATAAAAAAAATATAAGAATTGCACAAACACAAGATCTAACTTTTCAACTCAAACTATTCATTTCCAATTCATTTTAGGCCATCTTGATTTTTTCCATTGTTCGATATGAGCCATTGAAATATAACAACGTCTACGAATATCCACCTGTTGGACAAGCTGTGGGATGGATATTGGCATTTTCGTCAATTCTCTGCATACCATTAAAAGCTATCTGGGTTCTGTTCAAAGCCAAGGGGAGCAATCTAAAAGAGGTAAGTCCAAGATTCGAAATTTATTATTTTGTGTATGGTTTGTGTTTTACCATCGTTTTCATACTTTATAGTCTATTTATAGTCTATAAAATAGGGTTTTCCATGATTTTAGAAGTTGAGAAATTTCCGACTTCTTATTCTCTTTTATCTTTTCTTCGTCTAATTTTATTTCGTTTTGACAGAAATTCCAAAATTCGTTGAAGTGCAAAATACAAACTCCAGGTGCTGTTTTTGAGAACATCGGCGAGGATGGTATCGATAAAAACGATGATGAGAGTGATGTAACGCCGCCACCTCCTTATCCCGGAAGTGCAGAAAAAACAAGGGAGTACAAACTTGTCCCAGATAAAGAGACTTCCATGTAGTATAGCACGCAAAGGTCGAACAATTGGAAAAAATATCAACTGGCCGAGGAACAAGAGAATCAGTGAATTTAATGTTAAATTACGCTTAAGTATTATTGCTTTTCAGACCACACGTGTTTGATTCAACCAAAAATTTGTGAGAAGTGAATTTGGAATTATTATGAATTTTCCATTTTTTGATTAGGTTTTGCATAAGGCATATTCATGAATTCCATCCTAATTACAATCATACTTTATACTTTTGAGCAGTGCCGTGGGTCGGGGAAAATTCACTATCGGCTCCCGACTCTAAGTTGAGTACAAATGGCCCCGACTTCGACTCACGAATTGAGAGAAATCAATTCCAATCATGGTCAAACTTCAAAAAATCAAATTTTTAAACAAACCTTTTGCTTTCTCTGATAGACTGTTAAGATCGATCAGTAATCTCAATGATTTTGAGCTTGTTTGAGAAATTCTGATTTCTTTTATCAACATCGAAAGTCTGAAATCCCGACTCCGACGCAATCCGAAATTCGACTCCGGAAAATTGAAACTCGACTCCGGCTCTGACTCCAGTGAAAACATGCGAAACTCCGACACCACAGCCTCGCTTGTTAATACCATATTAACTAAATAACCAGACCTTCGCTTGATTCTGTAAATATTCTATTCTTTATTCTGCATACAATCTTTGACAGCTTCCTGCAATAGCTCTTCCATATCGTGCCAAATGAATTAACTGTATTTCAGTTTCATATAATTGTCCATTATTGATTAGCATAGTCATTCAATGTTCAATCATACCAAACGTCCTACATCGATAAATTTCTTGTAAGCGCAAAAGTTCTAATGAAACACTCAGATACAGAAATTTACTAACGAGTGTATATATATGTAAACAACTTGTTCTGTATTATTCTTTTTATTGACATCAAACCACTCTTCCAGCTCTTTAAGTTAAAATCCGCACACATCCGCAAATTCTTTGCAAAATATTTCAACACTGTTAATTTTGTTTCGAGTCCAAATCGAGTTTATAAACTTTTCCTAAAATGTGTTGACTCAATGCGTTTTATTATAATTTTCCAGTTGAACTATGTTGTTTTTTGTTCATTCCGAATTTTAAATTTGTTTTGTTTGTTTGTTTTTGCTTTATTTATATGGGTGTGTAGCAAGTAGGAAGCTTTTGAAAAAGCGAGCGCCCTAACATTCTTTGTAGTTGGTTTAATTTATGCTCATTACGTTAAATAAGCCGTTCAGTTTAGCAAGTTTTAGAATTCGTTTTTTTGTAAATTAAAAGAATCAAAATGTACAGTGTACATATGCTGAAAAATCATTAAAATCTGTGATTTTGTGAAATGGATGAAAGAAAAGCGGGTCAAATATGGATACAGATATATTTTTACACACCATCTTCAGGAAGAGTTGTAGAAATATCATGTAATCAGCAATGAACTTTCAATGCCAATCCGCGACACAAATTAACTAATAAAAACATTACTCCTCACTGTGATATTTCACGGCTGATGAAATTTAGATTCTACATAAAACCACTGTCACAACGATATAACAGACATATTATATATACGAGGTGTGGCTAAAAAGAAACGAGACTGACGTCACAGATTGCGCAACACGATTAACCATTGGTAACCAACACTTTTACAGTGTGGTGTAATATGTGTTCTTTGTTGAACAGCTTTTTTGACACAATATCGCAATTATTTTTGCTCTTTAGGAGCCATAGGTGAATGTGATTAATTGCTTGTTGAAAAAAAAATTGCCGTGCGAGATCTGATTGAGTTTTTTGGCGATAGGGGGTTCAATTGCAGAATGACGATTGAGCAATGAATTAACATTAAATTTTGTGTCAAACTTGGAAAAACGGCGACTGCGACTTTGAAGAAATTGTGTGATGTTTATGGAGATTCTTCCATGTCCAGAACAAGAGTTTTTGAATGGCACAAGCGATTTGTGGGATGCAGGGAGGATGTGCAGGATGATTCGAAGTCAGGAAGGCCTTGCACTTCCACAACTGATACCAACATCGAAAAGGTATCAGTTGTGAAAGGCAGTTGATTCGCAGCGATCGTCGCTCAACAATTCGCGTCATTGCGAAGTTGGAAAAGACAAAAAAAAACGGTTCGCACCAGTTTGGTTGACACTTTTGGCTTGTGAAAGGTGAGTGCCAAAATGGTGCCAAGGCTGTTGACTGAGGAGCAGAAAGCTCAACGATTAAATGTTGCCCAGTTGACATGCATTTTTCCAAGTTTGACACAAAATTTAATGTTAATTCATTGCTCAATCGTCATTCTGCAATTGAACCCCCTATCGCCAAAAAACTCAATCAGATCTCGCACGGCAATTTTTTTTTCAACAAGCAATTAATCACATTCACCTATGGCTCCTAAAGAGCAAAAATAATTGCGATATTGTGTCAAAAAAGCTGTTCAACAAAGAACACATATTACACCACACTGTAAAAGTGTTGGTTACCAATGGTTAATCGTGTTGCGCAATCTGTGACGTCAGTCTCGTTTCTTTTTAGCCACACCTCGTATATATCATAAATCGAACTACTAATTTTTTTTTAATCTATGCTAAATTCACATCAAAAACTGTTAAACTATCAATAATTTCTTTCATTTAAAAAATCATTTTTGACGAATATATAAGATTTAAATATCTTCGGTTTGCAGTCGCTTCCGATTTTAACTGTATGAACGAATTCGAAATCAATTAAATAATTAACAGATTCGGGTCATTAACCCTTTTCCACGGAAATCGGTAAAGCAATAATATTTTCGTCTAGTTCAGCGCTATGGAGTATTTACAATCGACCCAGGGGTTCAAGCATCCAACGAAATAAAAATTTTGAAACTATAAACGTTAGAGTATGCAAGCCTTATTTGATAGATTGTTAGAAAATCTTAGTCAAGGTAATTTTTTGAGATAGTGTAGTGAATTTTGATCTTGATTTCCACTATTGAAAGTCTAAAAATCTCAACTGCGATGATTTCGACCCAAGAGCTGGAAATACGAGATAAAATAGAAAATTGATTGAACTGATATTGCAATCTCTAGATTTTAATTCATCATAATCCGTAATGAATTCGATTGTGGAGATAACTCAAAAGAGGTCGTTGAAAACCGACATGTGAAAAGAGCGCATAGTGCTAAGTTATCGTTTTTTTCGTCTCCAGTGTTATGGTATCGTTGGCAACTAAACTGAATGTGAAATTTTTGCGATATATAGTATATATTTATATATATATATCTGAAATCGTATTGAGACAGCATTTTTTTTTATCTGTTGCGGAGCTTCTAAAACAATACTTTTTTTGTTTTATTTTGAACTTACATGATATATATCGTTTCAATTCGTAATTGAGCATAATGGCCAGGTCGAATTTCAACATTTTTTGTCGCCGTCGAAAACCCAAATTTTGACCTGATAATAACAATATTGTTTATTTTATTTCGAATTCAATTCTTTAATATCTTCAAATCAATCAACTCACCGCCGATAGTTTTTCTCGCAGTGCTCACAACCAGGGCTGCTACTGTAGAAGTTTCATAGCTCTAGATGTAAAATTTGGAGTCTAGATGTTAGCTATAAAATTATTTCAACTTATTATCCAGTGAGAAATAAAAAGCGATGTGTATAATTGTTAGAAGGATAGTATTTTGAATTATATAGATGTTAAGGTTGATACAACTTGAATCATATAATCTAAAGGATTTTCATCGCAAAACTGGGGGGAGCAATATAACTGTATGAAGTATATGCTAAAGTTTTTCATCTTCAGTATCCCACATAAACAGATGAAACAGACTACCTGAAGTTTGACTGTTTTAAAAAGCGTGTCATTGTTTTCGGTCAGCAACATACGACATCCATCCTGTCAGCTGTCAGAAAACATAGCTATCCCAAAAACAATCTCGACAGGACAGAAAGTCAGTTTTACAAAACTTCGATCTTGTAAAGACACAAAGTAGAACAATAACACGGCAGCATCAATGTAAGCCATCACTGTAATTTACTGCAATAAACTGTGAAACAAAAAATAACTAAAAAACAGCAGAAAGACAGATTCACTGAATGCAATACTAGTTATTGATATTATTAAATTCAGCCCAGTTCCAAATAAATAATGTTGCACGTCTTATAAGGATCCTGTTTCGGTTTCAAAAAAATCTGTACAGCAGAAACATATAAAAATCCCTTTGAAACAACTGTAGCGAGAACATCAACTTTGAAACCGTCGTCCAGCGCACCGTAATTTACTAGCAGTTCCCTCGACATGAAATCATCGGCACTCACCGAAATAGAGGCGTCTTACAAGTCCACGTGACGTATTCAAGTTTGAGGTAATTACAGACATACGCGCACCAGTGCTTCCCTCTCACTGTGTCGGCATAAATACGAGTGCATGTGAATCCGCGTCTCACTGGAGACGGCTTCCAATTCGGCTGGACCACATGGCAATTCAAGATCTACCGGTATCATTCCACTGCCAATGTCGGTCATGCTTACTCTGCTCAACAATCTACCAAGCACTTCAAACGTGAATTTTAAATCAACTTTCCATTTCTTTTTTGTGTGTATTGTTTTATTTTTTGCGAATGAATTAGAATGAATGAAATCTATCCATCACTGCATCCCTACAATTTAATGAGATACAAATCTGCAATAGCGACAGATTTGCAGCGGAAAATGTTATATGTGAAGATGAATCTGTTTTCAAAAATTTGCTAGATGTATACATACATGAAAAAAAGTTCTTCATAACAAACTGATGCAAACTGCAAACCATGGAACATTTTGATTATACACGGACATAGTTGATTTCACATTTACGTCTTCATTGAATGATCCATAGATTATCAGGAGTCCTATAGACCGGTACTGATAAAGAGCGGAACCACAATACAAATACATAATAACATTTGAAACAGAGATATGACATACTATAGGAATAGGGCTACCAACCGTCCCGGAATGGCTGGGCTACGGTTATCCCGGAATTTACTGGCAACCATGGCGTTCTGAAACAGAAGGACATGTAAGCGTATCGGATTCGTTTAAAACTAGAAACGGATGTAATCACGCACATATTTTATTTAATTAAATAAAAACGATTACATATGTATCGTTTATTCAAATAGAGGTGAGTTGAATCTTGTGCATAATAAATGTTTCGTTATCCGTGACCTCCGGAGGACATACCCATTGCAAAATGGATTATATACAGCAGTCATGTTAAGTCGGTGAAAGACAAATAAAAGTGAAGATAGGATTAGATTGATTAGTTTGTATAAACTCAAATTGATATTTGGCCTAGTAACAAAGGTAAAAACAAAGAACTTCTTACAGCGCAAAATCACAAGAAAAATACAAATTTAAATACCAGAAAGACTGTTTTTTTGTGTTTTTGTTAAATAATAAAATCTACTTGGCACAAATTGTACGTTTTCCATGTTTTTGCATTTATGACTCAAACCCATAGTAGTATATATTTACGCTCAAACAACAGTCAACATTTCATTTCTTTCTTTGAATATATGATAAAATTATTTACACGAGTTTGCGAAAATCACGCCGCACAATCATCACTCTTTGACGTCTTTCTTGTTTCACAAGCTTCTTTTGCATCAATTTTCAAATTCTCGACGTTATGGTGTCCCGAAATGGTTCAACAGAAAGTCGGCAACCCTACGTAGGAGTACACTTGCACTTATAATTGACCTGCGGAGGTTCAAAACCGTAGTGAACGCCTGCCTACGTAACTGCCACCTAAGTACATGCATCTCGAGCATGAACTGCTCAATTTACCAAAACACCAAGCACATTGAAAGCACTGTTTGGTCATATAAGGTCGATAAATATTAGGACACCTATTTTATTCTCTGGTCTAAGTTGTGAATGTGTACATTCGTTTTAAATCCATCATTGTTGAGCAACCTATTGGGAGAAATTGTGATGCGTCATCTACCCAGCATCTACTGTGGTCAATTCGAAGAACCCAAGCTATCACTGATGAAAAGCAGATTGTATGAACATGACAACATATGGTCTATTATTGGGTCCAAGTATAAGGAAATGTTTCAACTTTCCAGTTATATACGAAAGGATATATATTATCACTGTTAAGATCGTCAACAGAATTTGACCAGGTAGGCATATCTCAAATGTATTTGAAAAATATAACTAACATAGTGGTTAAAGATCAAGGTATGCGGCAATGGTGAAGAATACGATTTGAAATGACCCGGAAAATAACCTGTAAAAAAGCAGCAGACCAACATCATAGCAAATAAATTAGCTTCCCAGTATGGATAAGCAAAGAAAATTGACAGACAGTTGCATAAACATTAGTATGTAATTATTATTATATACCATACTAAATATCTGTGAACGAAAGTCAATCTTTATACAAATGAAAAGACTATTTATGGAAGAAACTATATACTTGTCTTAAGGTACAGTTTCCCAGCCTAAAAAACAGTAGTACAGTAATTGCAGGTATCTGTACAATCAAATTTTACCACTCCGTGAAGAAAATCCATTTCAATTGTCTAAACCAGGGGTGTGCAACCTTCAATACAGGAGGGTCAGATACAACTAACCTGATGACACTGTGTGCCGCTTCTTTATTTAACACAGGCGTTCTAGTGGCATAAAAATTTGGGGCATTGTAACGTCATAGATAACAATTGGACTCATCTAGTGTTTGTAATGCAGAGGTTGGAATTATTCACACCTATCAGGTTGAACTAAAATAAAAACTCGCTTCGCGGGCGCACGCGATTCAAAGTTGGCACTACTCCGCGGGCCGCATATTTTTTTCTATGGGACGCATTTGGCCCACAGTTTGCACACTCCCAGTCTAAACTCATCAGAATGCCAGATAGACTACACTAAAACGGAAGGTTTTTTTTTTCAATTTGGCATAGTACTTAATTTTAAATTCGAGTTCCATTTATATTTCGTGTACTGGCGAGTCCATCTATGAATGATTGTGTTTTTTAACTCACTTTTCCATGAACACAATAAAGAAATTAAGTGCGAATAAAGTTCCAGAAGTCAATGGTCAAAGCAGTAAGTTTTTACAAGTAAACAAAATCAATCTTTACTAAATCAGTAAAAAACAAAAGCACACACAAAAATAAAGTGAAGAATTCAGTCAATGTTTCACACTATTTGATAATCTTCATGAAAATATTTTTACTTCATATTGACTGGTTTTCAGCAAAAATGCTCTTCCACTCATTACAAAGTTGTATTCAACATCTTTGAAAACAACTGAATTTTTCAGATTTTGTCACCAAAACCTAGTAATCCCTTTAAAATCTGGCTTGGTTTAAGAAACTTGACAAAGCAATTTAAAGGCAAAACAAGCAATGGAGACTATTTATCCAAATAAAACCCCGGGATGATATTCTTCAACATTTACTTATGCTGCGCAGAAATCAATATGACCCATCAAACATATAGAAAAACAAAAACATTAACTGAATGATATACGATTAGGTGGACAAGCTACAGATTGAACTAAGAAAGTGATAGAGAAAAAAGCTGGCTACAATAAATTTCTTTTTAATATGTCAGCGTAATTTAATATTAGTGCATGTCAAAATAACAATAGTTTTTTCCATTTCATGAAATATCCTGGGTTTAAAAACATTCAAGTACACATCTTAAAATTTTTTACATTTCAGCTCACTCATATCAAGCGAAAAAATTAAGTTGTGCTGTCCAACATTTTGACTGCATGAACCATTGTGCTCGATGAAAGTCGAGTTTGACCATGCCGCATCATATATATATATATATATACTTATTCTTCGAGTGAAACTCTCAACCTTCTACGCCAAAAGATTGCGTAAACTCTCGTAGTTGTTTCATGTCATCCTCACTTACGGTGGGTCTCACATTAGCGATAGCAGATAACATATCTTGCATGCATACTTTGGGTTCACACATCTTGTCTCCCGGTACATCACTCCATGACATTTCTATCGCTCCATTCTCTCCAGGTGAGCATGGAACCAGAAGATCATCTACAATAATATTGGCATCATCCTGCGATGGGCCTCTTATTCTTTTGAAGTGAGTTGCTTGCTGGATTTTCCTTATCGGATTCAGAAGGGCTTCTCGTACAACAATACTGATATCTGCACCAGAATAACCTTTTGTTTGTTCCGCTAAATACTTGAAATCTTTATCAGTTAATGTGGTTAGAGTATCCCCCAAATGGAGTTTGAACATGGTAAGGCGGGCAGGTGCTTCTGGTAAAGGGATGTAGATTCTTTTTTCAAATCGACGGCGAATAGCAGAGTCCAAAGTCCAGGGGATGTTAGTCGCACCAAGAACAAGAACATCAGAGTTATCCACTCCAACGCCTTGCATTTGCACAAGAAACTCTGTCTTGATCCTCCGAGCTGCCTCACTTTCATTTTCGCTTCGGGAACCACATAATGAATCAACTTCATCTATGAATATAATCGAAGGTTTGTTTTCTCGTGCCAATTGAAACAATGCCTTTACCAACTTTTCACTTTCTCCCAGCCATTTTGATACAAGATCAGAAGAAGACACTGATAAAAATGTAGAATTATTAGCTTCAGTAGCTACAGCCTTTGCAAGATATGATTTACCAGTACCAGGAGGACCAAACAATAATATACCTCTCCATGGTGTACGCTTGCCCTTGAAAAGGTGGGGGAATTTAATCGGCATTATAACAGCCTCCTTGAGTGATTCCTTAGCTTGTTGTAATCCAGCTACATCAGACCATTTGATATCTGGCTTTTCTACTACAATTGCTCCACCTAGTTGGTTTCGGAATTTCTTTTTTTCAATGTCATCGTCATCATCAGAATTGTTTCCACCCTGTGCCTTTTCTGGTTTCTTATTCGTAGAAGCCTGGTCTTTCGCAGCTAGATATTTTTTCAACTTTTCTGCTCGCTCCAAATACTGTGAACACTTTGACCGCACACTTTGTTTTGCTTTATCATTTGCTGCCTCATACTTGAGAACATGCAAAAAATATTCTACAGCTGACTCATAAAGTCTTAATGCTTCTTCAAAGTTTCCTGCCTTATCTTCAAGTGTTGCTTTGTTAACAAGTTCTATCGCTTTTTCCAATGTTCCCGGCATCAGGATGATTAAATGAAAATATATTCTTAGATTAACAATAATTTACTGATAAAAAAATTTATATTCATATGTTTGTAGTTCGGGGGAAGACAAAGATATTACACAGCAGAATCTATAAAGTCACCTCAAGGAGAGTATGATGTAAAATAAATTGAGAAGCACATAAAGTTTTGTTGACTATAACTAAACTACATGATATAACATTGCAAGATATGACATATTTCAAAGAAATGAATAAGACACTAATACAATCTGAAATTAAAATTCTAGTTTTTTCAATACATAGTAGGAAGAATTTTCTCAAAATCAGTCATCCTTCGAAAGCATATTTTATCAAGCATGAACCAGTAATATCATGGATATATAGTAAGTAGAAACGCGTATTACAAACAATAGGTTTCAAATTTACAGAAATTTGGATTCAAAGAGAGAAATGGGTATTACATTTCAGCATTATTCGATATTTTGAATAAACTTGTTTTTGAAGGTTTGAAAAATTAATAGTAATTTAAATCTATCCATGAAGATATGAACTTGCAATTAAGCTTAAGATCTGACAAAAGGTCACTACAAAGTACAAAAAAATCTCTAGCAATGTGTTGGAAATCTGTCCACCTTATAGTCTTAAATGAATGAATACTGATAATTTTTGCTCTAACCAAAGAGTGCATTTTATCAGTACTTTATGTGTAATTATCAGTATTACAGAATCCAGAATGACTTTTTAAATGGCTCAAAACTTGTGATTTGCTGTTCCGGCTTCCCTCACCATCAAGTCCATGCTTCCGAAAACTGGAAAACAAATACGGTATTCCCCAGCAAATAAGACGATTCCCGTTTTTACACCTGGAAAAATGGGTTTTTGCACATAACCTGCCAATAAGACGGGTAGTAGAATCACATCAACATCGGAATCTCATATTACCATGCAAAGGCTTTTGAGCGGTCGGCGCATTTGCGCATAGGTTAAAATAGCCTATAATGACTTTTTCTTATAGCGTAATATTCAATCCATAACAACTACGGGAATTCAAACTGCTTTTCAATTTTAATCTAATTGTGTTCAACGTAACTCGCAGTTGCGTCCACCATTATAAGAACATTGCCGATCTAAAGTAACACAGCAATCTGAGGACATAACAATGTGAGATAAACTACCTTATTATATTTAGTTTTTATAATAAATATACATATAAAGTGTATATATGAAACACAAAACGAAACGTGTTGCTTCATTGATTTAATTGGAATCAATTTAATCCTGTAATTTGCGATTGGGACAATATAAATAGGACGGTATCACTGCTCCAAATCACCAACGCAATTCGTGGACATAAACATGTACAATTATATGTTGTTTTGATTCGTATTTTTGCAATTCAAAAACATATCTGAGCTGTTGCTGCAACAATTCCGCCTTATCGCAATGCTGCCACTCATTATTTTGAGTATTTCACGGTAGGAAAAAACAATAATATCCCACCAAGTAAATTTATGTTAAAAAATGAATTAAATACACTTCACATCAGGTATTATACATATATCATAGTCGCGCCAGGGGATGCTATCGCCGAAGGTATTCTATGGCCCGAATTGAATAATAAGGCGACTCCAAAAAAAAAAAACTACCGTATCATACTCGCCTAATAAAACACCCCCCCCCCCAAAAAAAATCAGGCCAAAAATTTTGTCCAGAAAAGCGACTCATTCGCCGGAAATGCGGTACCGTAACTGGCTAACTAATCCCATACCGGTACGGTATCCAACGTGGACTGGTACCCGGATTACCAGATGAGAAGCCATGGTTCAGCATATGATTAAGCCGGCTTATCGACTTTCCTCTCCTAAATATGTAAATCCTATCTATTAACACAACAAATCTTTCTATGACTGTATGACAACAATCTATCAATTTTATTTCCTCTTTCTGTTTTTGTTCCGTTGTTCAGGCTGTTAGGTACAGCCTGCTATTAAACTAGGAATTACTGAATACAGGCACGGTAGTCCAATACAGTATCCTGGGACCGGTACTGCACCAAATGAATAAATACCGGAATAGTTACCAAGATTCGGAGATTGCAGAAGAGATGGAAAAGTAGGTAAACTATTGCTGTATTGGCATTGCCAGCACAAGGCTAACATCAAACTCAGTTGTTTTTATCATACAATCCACAGTCTGTTTTGCTAATCAGAGTAGCGATAAACTTGTACTTACTCATAAAGTGACGCTAAGTAATAAAAAAAATATTTAAAGATGAACAGCCCTGTTGTTCCTTCCCAATTTCTCTGTGACAATTACAGACAGACAGAGTTAGTGTAAGCCGTACAATACTGGAGATGTGACGTCACCGAGCTCACGTGATATATCATACAGATATCTATCATTGGGTTTGGGCATTGTTTGTTTTTGTCATACTCTCATGACCTGTCTACTTTACTGATTTTCCTGCGCAGCCCGGCTTGTAATATATCAACATCCGCGTATTATATTTTGTCTTTGAAGATTCGTTTTAGTAATGAAATAGTAGGTATTGCTCTCCACAAAACGAAGCCCATTTGCTAAACTGGTAGTGCCACTCCTTGTTCACTTAGGATAGGATAGAATTTACATATTCATCCCGAGAGAAAGGAAAGCCGATAAGACGGCTTAATCATATGGCGAACCACGGCCTCTCGTTCGGTTACCATTCCATGTCGGGTATGGAATCAGTTAGTCATTTGTTTTCGGAAGCATGGACTTGATGGTAGAGGAAGCCGTAACCGACCAGCGATTACGTGAACCACCCTATTGGCAGCGAGGAGTAAAGCAATCCTCTCGCACACAACCATCCCCGCATGGGATTCGAACCTGCGAACCCACGCAGAGTAATCAGAGGCGCAGTGGCAGGCGTATGCCTAACGCTTAGCACGATGAGCCACACCGCCGCGCCACCTAACCGTCTCTCACTGGATTGAGTGTTTACGGTTCTATTACATTTAAACCCACGTACATTTGAAACTCCTAATTTGAACCCACGACAACCTTACGGACATTTGAACCTATATTAACTCAAACCCATGGATTTTAGCACCCTCATATAGATTGAACCCGCGGATATTCGGGTGCAAATGTATGGTCACCAGTGTCAATGTATGGGTACAAATGTACCGTCACCAGTGTTTACACTACGCCGTCGTCGGATTTTTGGGGAGAGAGATGTCGCATTGTTACCCTCAGATTGTCACCGCTATTGTTCATTACTACCCTTGTTGGTCACAGAGCTAACCTCCGCAACTTTCCCCAACTGTCTGCTTTTAGTCTCGTGGTTCGCCACAAAGCTAACTTACTTCTGTTCTCTCCCATGCTTATCTTTTCTTCGACTGTCTACTGGGAATCGACAATTTTACAGAGAACTATCCTGTCCCTTGCTACTTCATCTGGATCTATCTATACAAAACTACCCTTATCCACCCTCGGTTTATTGCGACCGTTTTACTACCATCGCTGGCTTTTCAAAATAGCAGCCCGCCAGTTTCTTTTTTCCCATGACCACCCTACGCGCACTGATCTCCGCTACAACTCGCGAACTCGGTCTCCCTTTTGCCCTTGGGATTTGAACACACCCTCATACCTGGCCGGATGCCTTACCATGTCTCAAAAAGTAAGGGTGCACAACCTTTCCGCTACTGGCGGTCACATTGCAACACTTTGACTCAACTGACGGCCGCCGTCACGATACACGAACTGTATTCGACAAGCTATTTTCCACAAATACCTATATTGCGATAATATTTACTCGGGAATCTTTTTCGTTCCTATAATTAAGAATAAAACGAATATTTTTATCCAATTTATTCAATACAAGTTTTCAAACACATAAATTAATGACTTCCCTTGCATCTTTGCAGATAAACGTGCGAAGTCAGGGAGCTCATCCGATATCATCGAATTCCTTCTAAATCGAATTCCTTCAACAGCTCATCAAAACGCCAGAGAAACGAGCGATTGGAATTTCTTCGGAGCATATTTCTTTGTTACCAATCAAAATGCAAAAAAAAATTTTGCTGACTGAGATGGCTTTTGAGGAGATATCATTCCTCACGTAAATCTTATAGTTTTATGTACAGAAGACATACTGTTGTGTTTTTTCCTTGTAAGCATTTATTCAGATTCAGTAGTTGAGGTGAGTTAGTAAATCCACCAACAACGCCAAAGAGGCGAGTAAGTCTTTGTTTAGCAAAGGACTGGTTTTGTTTTGAAGGGAGTATAATTCCACTATTTTATTTCGCAACTGTAGAACACGACAAGATGTTTCCCCCGGAGATAACTTGGTGCTGGTATGCGGGTCGGTCTGAATGTGCAAAAAGTGACTTGCAACATGCACAATAAGCAAAGAAATCATAATTTGGAATGTTCAAAAAGCTAAATTTACCTTTATTTGCATTACATAACATGGTAGTACAGTGCGAAAAGAATTGCAGGAAAGAAATGATACACTGTGAACCAAAAATAATTCGAAATTTTACAAGGTTTAAGAATGAGGTATATTTACAATATAACCTTTAAACGACGAGCTTTCCTCTGCATAAACGCCAGAATAACTTTTTCTGTTGGAACTTCAAGTTTCCCGATGTATCAGAAGCAGGGCTAAACCATTCAGCCGGGTTTCCATGGTGGTGTTCCGCAAATATGTTTTCAAACCGCGTAGCTGTGAAAACGATCTTTTGGCAGATGCAGTTGTGACCAGAAGTGTGGAAATAATTTGCACTGGTCATTACTCTGATTTCGGTGAAAATTACCGCAAATTTCGTCTGTGCGTTATCCAACATGTGGTGTAAAAAAACTGCCTTAACGTCGTTAAGCATTTGACAGCAGCCTATGATGTCGAGATCTTTTGACTGCAGAATAACTGACAGTCGATGTGTAGCAAGTATGCTGTCCAGTATACGTAAATGACAAATGAAATCTGCGTTCATTATCCTGTATCTGAATTTATCTCCTTTATCAGTGACAACTCTGTCTCTGCATTCTTCTATCTGGTCCAAAGAATAAACGACAGCAGAATATAATTCGCAGAATACTGTG